GGCTCTACTCACAGGAGGCTCAGTGGGGAATCAAACTCCCAACCTCTGGCTCTGCAGCCAGGTACCTAAACCACTGAGCTATCCAGCCAAACTTTAGCACTTGCACCCTGGACAGCAAAATACCTTGGCCTCACCCTGTTTGTGTAGTTCCAACTAGTTGAGATGGTCTGGAGAAGACAAAAATCTAGGTAAAACAGCCAGGCATTAACCTAGATGCAACAACCTAACTGAAGATAGGCGAAAAGTTGGTGCAGGCAAGAGCTAGAGGCCATAATGGAGGTGCATACAAGTGGGCTGTCCTGTGTTCCATGGAGAAAGAGAGGGAGAGAGACAAATGCAACAAATAGATTAAAAAATGGTCACTTCTTAGCTACTTACGATACACCAGGATGTTTGCACGCACAGATTTATGTTCTCCGTAACAGCTGAAGGAGCACTCCACAGCAGACGCCCACTCCGTGATGTTCACAAGCTGGAAGCGTGCCCAGCCGGTCCCATTGTCTTTCCTCGCCTTGATCAGCGACGTCTCCAAGCCTCCCTTGGCATCTGCCTCCTGGCAGCTGGTGCTGCAGTTCAGCTCGAGGGACCCTCCGTGCTCCACCATGGGGTTCTCTGGCCAAATTGACACATCAAACGCGGGCTGTTCGGCTCCTGCAAGAGTGGATCCACAAGCATTTTGCCAAAGGGTTGGCAAACAAGAGATTTGCTTGAGGGGGGAGGCGGGTTCCAGAGGTAGAGAGATCAGAGACCTCACAGACTATGGCGGAAATCCCAGCACAGCCTTCCTCTCTCCTTCACAGACCCCACTTTAAAAAACAAGTACTGCCATGCCTTCAGAATTACTAAAAGTACCCGGACTTCATTATCCCTGAGCCAGCTAGTGTAGGTTGCCCAGAAAGAGAGGCATTTATACTGCAGTCACTGGGCCACATTCACAGACATTAAGAAGGAAGGAGGGTTTCCAGACATCCCTGGCTTCCATCTGTAACCTCCTTATGTTTTCTTACCACATTTCCCCATCCTCTTTCGCTTTTTAATTACAGAAACTACATTAAGAGGGGGAAAGATGGAATAGTGGCACAAAGACTATTATCTGGTCATGCTCAAAGTCCTCCACCTGGAAGCCTCCATACATTCAGAGAGCGCATCCCACTCGAGGTAATTCAACAGGGGTCGGACTGGGAAAGGGGGAGTGGCTGTGTTTTTCAGCAGCTCATACAAAGAGGGGTCATTCCCTCCCTCTTTGCAAGAGCAGAGCCCAGCCCCTGCTTTCATTAAACAGGGCGATCTCTGTTTGCACCATGGTGAAATACAAACCACAGGGGAGTTCCCCTGGCCATTACGCTCTGCGCACTCCCTCACACAAGAATACTGCCCATGCATCTGAAGCGCTGTCTGGTCTTTAGATTTTGAATGAGAGTTTCAACAACGAGCTCGGGTTCACAGACATCGACGCAAACACAGGCACAAGCAGTCTCCTTAACACAAAATTGAACACAATAGAGGGAGACAAACTTCTCCCTGATATGCTAGCTTTCTGTGTTTGAGGGATGATATGCAATGAGGGCTCATTCCATTATACAAATACAAGCTTTTCACCATCTTAGTGGGAACCAAGCCTCAGTTTCACACTGTTTGTGATTTGGTTTTTTTGCTGCTGACCTGCTTGACAGATTACTGGCAGGCTCAGCGGGTTTGCTCTGTCACAATGGTAAGAAAAAAAAGTTTTATTGCTTGTTCTTATTGCATTACTGTTTTATTGCACCGTATTGTATTTTATTTCTGGTTTTTAGAACAGTGGCTTCATGGTTCTTTAAAAAGTATGCTCTGGGCTGCTTTTAAGAAGGGCAAGATAAAAGCCAAATAAAAGTTGAATTCTGTGATCTTCATATATGTTGCAATTTAAACAAGAATACAGCACCGCCACCACCCAGTTCTTAGGAATTCATTTTTTCCCATTTAAAATAATCTGGTGAGCAGTTTGCTTGCCACATTGTGATGGCATGAACTGTAACAAAAAAGGAGCCGTAATACACTTATCGATCTTAAACGCCTCTGTGTAATGCAGTGCTTATATAGGTAGAAAGGTACCAAAGTCAGTCAACCAGTTTTTCAGGTGAATGCACTGGAAAGAGCTTTGGGAAAGGCTGTAATTTAGCAGTAGAGGGCAGGTGTTGCACAAAAAAGGTCTCAGTTCAAGCCTCGGCATCTCCAGGTTAGGGGTGGGAAAGAATCCTGTCTCAAATGCTGGCCACGGCCAAATCACTGTAGATAGCCATGAACTGGATCGATGGATGGCTTGAACCAGAAACTGAATCAGAGTCGGGAATTAGGAAAGAACCTTTCTTGGTCTGCAAAGATGTCCCAAAAAGTGGCCACACTGGTTGTGGGATTCTGGATATGCAGTTGAAAAAGCAAAGCAAAGCAAAGCAACAACAACAGCAACAGAACTGCAGAGCAGAGCAAAGCCAACACAATTTTTTTTAAAGCCACATTTCTAACCTTTGCTCCATTTGAAGCATGTTCCTGTATTTTCAGGGTGCTTCCAGGCTACAGAGTTCTAGGCTGTGTGTACTATGTGCCATCATGTTGGAGCTGATGGACAGCCACCCAGCAAAGGTTTTCAAATTAAGTGAGATACTTGAAGTATGGTTTTATTAGTTCCATCCCTCCTATGAGTTTCCATGGCTGAGCAGGGATTCGAATCCAGGTCTCTCGAGTCCTAGTTCCTCACCCTATCCATTATACCACATTAGGTATGCACTCTACAGTATTCTAGTGTTAGCAATTAATCGGCATAGCTTTTCCATCTTGCCCTCTGCAACAGCTTGTTTTCATGAAAAGGATTTTAAAAAAAGGAATAAAAGGGGTGACAAAAATGTGGATGGGACACAAGTGGAAGGCAATATTGCCTGGATCCCTGTAAGCTTGTGTGAATGAGATGGTTCAATTGCTTGAAGAAAGCATCACTTGGAAGCACTCTGGACTAGAGATCAAGAAAGCAGAGAAGTGACCTAATTTGTCTATGGCTGGGTGTCCTACAGGTACCTGGGCCCTGAAGTCTTCCCTCTTCATATAAGTCCTTGTTCTGTCACCCTTTTCTTCTGTTTTCCTATGGCCACCTCTGGCTGGGCTGATGTCCAAGCAGAGGCAATAATCTCACCTGGACTTTTTGGAGTGTGTTGTCTTCCCCCTTAGATCATGCCCTTTGGTGTGCCTAATACTGTACACAGTTACAAAATGAGACATCTAGTCTTCTACCAGAAAATTATATACTACTGGTCCTAAAATTGCTCTGGCTGAAATCCTAACTTAAATCACGACTGAAGAGCCTATTGTGATGGATCCCCCTTGGACCTGGCCATTCAGCTTCTGGTTAAAAAAAACAAAACCCAGCAACACAACCTCTTCAAGACAAAAGAGAGCCCAACATTGTCCAGAATTTTTTGCTCCACTGTCAAACATCTCTGCCACCAGGATAGTTTTCCTCATCCTTCATTGAGCACTCCTTGAAGTTTCAGAAAACGAATCACTCCACCATCTGTGTGATAGCCCTAGAGATGTTTGCAATGATCCTCATATGGACTTGCAACGCTCTCCTATCCAAACTGAATACATTTAGCTGTTCACCCCTTTCCTCACAGATGTTGGTCTCCAGATTCCACATCACCATTCCTTTAGACTCTGGTTGAAAAAAAACCAAAACGAATAACACAACTCTTCAAGACAAAGGAGAGTGCAACATTGTCCAGAGTATTTTGCTCTGCTGTCCAACATCTCTGCCAATAGGATAGTTTTCCTCATCCTTCATTGAACACTCCTTGAAGTTTCAGAAAACGAATCACTCCACCATCTGTGTGATAGCCCTAGGGATGTTTGCAATGATCCTCATATGGACTTGCAACGCTCTCCTATCCAAATTAAATACATTTAGTTCCTCATCCCTTTCCTCACAGATATTGGTCTCCAGATTCCACATCACCATTCCTTTACACATACTGTACTATGGTTGGTCCATATCCTTCTTAGATTGTGTTGTCCACTACTCCAGAGGTACTACTGCTGAAATCCTTTCTTCCACACGGCTATCACAAGTACTGCTGGGTCATCCTAGCTGATCAATGAAAGGGGTGGCATAGAGGTGGGCTGATTAATGAAAATTGTCCATATTGGAGACTGAGGATTCTTATGGAAGAAGTAAAACAAACAAACAAACAAACAAATCCACCATCTGTGTGATAGCCCTAGGGATGTTTGCAATGATCCTCATATGGACTTGCAACGCTCTCCTATCCAAATTAAATACATTTAGTTCCTCATCCCTTTCCTCACAGATATTGGTCTCCAGATTCCACATCACCATTCCTTTACACATACTGTACTATGGTTGGTCCATATCCTTCTTAGATTGTGTTGTCCACTACTCCAGAGGTACTACTGCTGAAATCCTTTCTTCCACATGGCTATCGCAAGTACAAGAGATTTTATAGCCTTTGTACTGCTGGGTCATCCTAGCTGATGAATGAAAGGGGTGGCATAGACTGATTAATGAAAATTGTCTGTATTGGAGACTGAGGATTCTTATGGAAGGAGTAAAAAACCAACAACAACCTCAGAGGCAGATGATAAGGCATTTAGGCCTTACAGTATGTGCCATCAAATTGCTTCCGACTCAGGATGACCTTAATAGGGGTTTCAAGGTTTGTGAGATGGTCAAGAAGTGGTTTATAATTGCTACCCCTCAATGCATTTTCATGCCTGAGTGGAGAACTGAATCCAGGACTCCTGAATCCTAATCTACTCACTGCACCACAATGGCTCTCAGTGGCACAAAAAAAGTATAAGGGATACAGAATGACAAGAACAAATGGTCCCTTGGCTTAAGGTGCTTACAAATATCAACTTCCTCATTAAGATGATTAGAAAAGGCAGGGAGAAAGATGGAGAAGAAGGGGGACAGGAAGAATATCCAATTTGTTCAGTTATAGCCATATCAGCATTGGATGAGAAATATGGGACTGTCCCTAAGTGGATATATAAAGGATCAGATGTGACAGAAGAGCCTTGTTATAGCTGTAATGGCTGTGTGAAAAGGAGATGCACAGGTGCAGCCATTATCACACCTGCATGACAAGCTGCAACCTGACCCAACCCCCAACCCCCTTTTAATGCCTTATTGTACCGTTCTTCACCCCCTTCATACCTGACTGATCGTCCTCACTGTGGGAATGCAGCAAGACAGCTGGACTTTAAAATATTTCATGCTGCCAGAGCCTAGAGTATAAAGCCATGATGACACCATGAATATTTCTCCACAATCCAATCTCCCCTGAATCCTGGCTCGGAACCCTAGATCCCTGGCTTTCATCTGTGGGCAGCTTGTGGACGAGGAAAGAGGGATTCCTCACCCCCACCCTCCAAATTTCAGTCATCCTTGCCCTTTTCTGGAGCCCTGCAGACATGGCTTGAATTGAGGTGCAAGTGGCCTACTTTCCACACTGGAATCAATGCAAACCACCTGCCACTGGCCAGATGCAGAAATGTTTTTCTCGCACTGCTGGGTAACCAGAACCAGCTCTGCACATGGCTGAGATCGGAAGAAGAGTTTGCTCGAAATCTGTATCAATGGTTCTTGGCCAAAGTTGCATCTCCTATAAGTGGGACGTGAAAGTAATATTGGTGGGACAACTGGGGTTTTGCAGCAATTACTGAGATTCACTCTCCCCCACTACCCACCCTTCTCATGGATCCTACCTATGACTTTTCAGCAAGCTAGTTGTAACTTTGGGCGGGCATTTTTTTCTCCTAGCCTTCTGTTCCCCCTGATCACTAATTTATCCTAAATTGTAACTACCACAACAGAATGCGTGTAAACCTATGCAGAAATGTGGACCTTTGTTTTCTCCTATGGTGGGGCTTGGGTTCTTTTGAAACTGTGACTGATGAGCTATATGAGAGCCACTGATCCATACATCTTGCTTTAAAAGAAGGAAACATCAGGATTAGGCTTCAGAAGGAATTCTATCTCCTGGATCAAGTAAAAGGTTACCTCCAGGTGTTTTCCAGGCTTCCCAGACCCCAGTCCCAGATTTTATGTGGAAGCAACCCCAAGAAATGTCCACTAATGCATAAAACTTTCCTACACCAACACGAGGATTCCACTGTCATAAGAAGAGTTTGGAATAAGAACATCCACCACTACTTTGACATTCTTCATTGTGACAGCAGGCACCGGGCCAACGTGAACTAATGAAAAGAGTGTTGGACTCAGAGCCGTGGGTTCAAATCCCTGCTTGGCCATGGAAAACTCATTGGGCAGTGACAGCAGCAACAGTAAGCCACTACTTGAACAGCTTTCATCTCTGGAAGCCCCACTTAAGGTCACCCTAAGTGAAAAAAGCAACTGGACAGCAAATAGGACACAATAACAATAATCTACCTGTGCCAAAAGAACTGGTTATTAACTGTCCCCTTTCCCACAACCAAATGGAGGAAAGACAACACATAATAATAATAATAATAATAATAATAATAATAATAATAATAATAATAATAATAATAATAATAATAATAATAATAATAATAATAATAATAAATAATAATAATAGAAGCAGGGAAGGGAGGCACAAGCTGTCTGGTTTCAGACACGTGCTGGATTCCTGCAAGACCCAGACAGAGATGCTTGTACAGTGTACAGGAATCAGAGAGAAAGAGAGAGAGAGAGAGAATGCCCCCCTTGTCTGGATCTTGCATACTTGCATTTCCCCAGCTGCAGCCATCCAGGAAATCCCATTGTAACAAGGAGAGAGGCGAGCCTCCGATGCTCCCCCACCCCACATCCCACCCTGCTTTTGTCACCAGCTACCCCACTCCCCGCGAAGCCCACCGCTATAGCCTGGGAAGGGGGAAATGGATGGAGAGCGGCCGGTAGGTTAAAGGGGGGGGGGCAGACGAGGATCCCTGGACTACTTACCGGCGAGCAGGCTCAGCAGGAGCAAGGCGCCGGAGCCAGAAAAGGGATGCCTCGGGAGCTTCATGGCCGAGGAAGCAAAGTGGATTGAGAGAGAAGGGAAGGTGCGGGCGGGAGAGGATAGAGATTAGCGAGAGAGTGGAAGGGAGGGGATGTGGGGCTCTCGATTGGTTTCACGTTGGTAACTAAGGAAGAGGAAGGAGCAGAGACGACTCAGAAAGCGCAGCGGCAGCGGCAGCAGCGGGAGACCGGCACTCTTCACCAGGGCCAGGAAGAGCCTCGTTGACGGCTTGCTGTTTCTCTCCCCCTACCTTCCCTGCCGCCCACCACTCTCCAGTAACTCCGAAGGAACAGAAAGCCGGCCCCGTGGCAGCATCGCCGGACTGGTCCATCCATTCCTGCATCCCACCCCCAGCCGCAGCGGGAGTTCGGAGGAGGAAGCGAGGGTTGCGGGTGGCGGGCAAAGAGCTGCCGCCTCCGGGGTCGCTCTCCGCTCTGCTGGGGGTGGGGGCGAGCATGGGCGGAATATCACGGAGGGAAGGGGCGCAAGGCCGACTTCTGGGGTCGGCAACCTTCCCAGTGTGGGGGTCGAGGGAGGTGCGCCTTGATGGCCTCCTGGTGAAGGAAGCAGGCCACTTGTTGTTACGACGGGGGGAGGGCAGCATTCAAGCACACGGGACAAGTGGTTGGCTATAGGTCCAACCGTGCACTGTGCTCTTTCCTCTGCATTGATAGTGGAGATGGTTAAGCCTGTAAGCATCTGCTGAGACTAGGTGGTTGTTGCAACAATGCACAGAGGATCTCACCAAATAAATAAGCTGAAACACTTGGATGAAAACAAATGTTCAGGGGGAAAAATCCTATTCTTACAATGTTTTCCCTACAGGAATGTGTTTTTGGGGTTATCTGTTTCAAGAAACAGACATTTCTGATGCAAAGTTAGCTGGTGTTCATATTCTAGTGATCAGAATTCTTTCATTGCTTGAGGAAACACTGCTTCTAGATTTGATACCAGCACCCCATATAACATTTGGGTCCACTGATTCTGCCCCCAGGTGACTTCCTATAAGCAGAACAGGAGATTAATGTGAGCTCTCAGTTTGTCAGGACTGCACTTTGAAGGCTGCATGGCACAGGTTTTGATGCAATTCGCTGTCTGCCATTTCATTTCAGGGCACAATTAAAAAAAACTGATTATAACTTGCAAAGAACTAGGATATGCTGCAAGGATATCTGGAGGAGCTCTTCCTCCCCCCCCCCAATGAATTGGCTTATAACATACAGTCATAATTGTCTCTGTTATATTGAGATGAATGAGTGGCATTTTTTATTGCCACTTCTCCAAAAATGTACAATGGTGGGTGTTTGAATCAGGGCCTCTTTGATAGCAGCACCTTGATTGTAGAACTTCCTATGATGGGATATGTAATTAGCTCCATTCTTCTTTGTTTTGCTTCACAGACAGTGAACTCTGCTTTCTTTGATCTGACTTTTAGTCTTCCAACATTCTTCTGTTGCTCTTTAATCTTATGTCCCCAATTTCATTTTGTGTATGATGCATATGTTTATTATCCTGGCTCATCGCTGTTGTGGTTTTAATCTTTTAATGCTTTAATTCTGCATTATTACCTCAGGCACCCAATAGGCAGTGTTGTGGGATAAAGTACTAAAGTACTAATGCATGTTACAAGTGACCTGAATCAATGTAGGAAGGAATAAACAGATAATCAGATGAACTTGGCCGCCTTTTCTTCCCCTGCCTTTACTAAGCGATCGCTTGCTGATATGCAGAGTGTTACACTTCTCTTTCCCCTTGGAAGTCTGCATAGTTTTATCTTCCTAGAGGGAGAAAAGCAGCCTCAACAGACTGCACTGGTCGTCATTTATGTTTTCTACTCTCACAATTCAATTAAATTCAGTTCAATTCCTTTATATGCCACCTTTCTCCACCATAAGGACCCAAGGCAGCTCACAGCAGCCAAAAGAATAAAACAATCAATAGTTTAAACGCCACATTAAAAAAAATAAAACAATTAAACACATATCAAGATTAAAAAGATTAAGAACAATTTTAAACATTTTGGAAGCATTTAAAAATCTCTAGGTTTTTTTTTAAACCAAAGCATTCCTGAGACACTTACTGCTTAAAAACCTGCCTGAAAAGGCATGTCTTTGCCTGACAACAGAAGGAGGGGACTAACCTTGCTTCTCGGGGCAATGTATTCCAAACCTACCACTGAGAATGCTCTCTCTCTCATGTCCTTGCTTAGAGAAAGGACTCCCCAGAAGATCTTAAAAGCTAAGAAGGCTCATATGGGATGATGGGATCCTTCAAATAGCCTGGACCCAAGCTGAATAGGGCTTATAGGTAATAGCCAGCACTTTGGATTGGGACTAGAAACACACTGGCAGCCAGTAAAGCTGTTGCAATTAGAGCTGAGCACAAGCTGCTTGTTTGTTTATTGGCCAAACAGGTGTTCAGAGCTTCAAAACCCCACCTTTGCTGGCAGATATCCAGCTGGAGAGAACGGCGTGTCTTCTTTGCTCTACCTCCTCTAGATCACTGGCTCTTAACCTTGGGTTACTCAGGAGTTTTGGACTGCAACTCCCAGAAGCCTTCACCACCAACTGTCCTGACTGGGGTTTCTGGGAGTTGCAGTTCAAAAGCATCCGAGTAACAAAGGTTAAGAACCACTGCTCTAGCTCAGTGGTCCCCAACCTTGGGCCTCCAGATGTTCTTGGACTATAACTCCCCGAAGCTTTCACCACCACCTCTGCTGGCCAGGATTTCCGGGAGTTGAAGTCCAAGAACATCTGGACGCTCAAGGTTGGGGAACACTGATCTAGAGGAGGTACAGCAAGAAAGACAGGCCGCTGGCTCCATTTGGATATCTGCCAGAGAAGGTGGGGTTTTGAAGCTCTGAACACCTGTTTGGTCAATAAACAAACAAGCAGCTTGTGTTCTAGAAGCTGCAAACCTGACTTTTCAGGGGGAGTGTAACCCCATCCAGTAAAGGCTGAATCTGATTTGATTTGCCTTTTGATTGACCAGGAGCATCTCTATCTTGTTTGAATTAAGTTTCTTTTTGTTAGCTCTCATCCAGTCCATTACTGACAATGGACACTGGTCTAGGCTCAGAACAGCTTCTTTGGAATCAGATGGAAAGGAGAGAAAGAATTGGGTGTCATCAGAATATTGATGGCACTGAACAGCAAAACTCTGGACAACCTCTCCTAGTGGTTTCATATTGATGTTCAATAGCATCGAAGACAGAACCAATCTCTGGGGGACACCATAGACCAATGACTATGGCGTTCAACATGATTCCTCCAACACCACCTTCAGACATCCAGGAAGGATCAGAACCACTGTAAGACAGTATCTCCAAAAACCATCTCAGAAAGATGCCTAAGAAGGACACCATGGTTGATGGTATCAAAAGCCACTGAGAGGTCCTGCAGGACCAACAGAGATACACTTCACTCATCCAGTTCCTGGCCTAGGTCATCCATCAAGGTGACAAAAGCCATCTCTGTTCCATAATGAGGTTTGAAGCCAGACTGAAATGGATTTAGATCATTCGCTTCATCCATGAATCTCTTGAGCTGAGGTGCCACAATGCACTCCAAGATCTAGCCCAAAATGGGAGTATAGTATTGGAGTATGGCCAATAATTGTGTTATAATTATTGGCCAGTTGGATTCAAGGAGGGTTTTAAAAAAAAAGGACTTACTACTGTGTCCCTTAGGCATTCTGGTACCCTTTCTTGTGGCAAGGAGACATCCACTGCTCCCTTCACCCACTCAGCTAGTCCCCCCTCTGTCTGCTTTATAAGCCAAGAAGGGCAAGGATCCAATACAGATGTGGTCCTCTCACCTCTCCAAGGATCCTGTCCCCATCCTCAGGCTGCATCCCCTGAAACATATGCATTATAACAGGGCAAGCAGGGCCGATGTTACATCAACAGGACCTTCGTCAACTATAGCATCTAAGTCAGAGAAGATCTGAGTGACTTCATCTGAAAAGAGCCATGCAAACTATCCACAGAGGACCATTGGGTGATCATGGTCCTTCTCTTGTGGTCATCTGTGCAACAGGCCCTTGACCACTCAAAAGAGCTCTGCTGGATGGCTCAGTGCAAATGCAATGGGGGCAGAGAAGAAATGCTTCTTGACTGCCACAGAGTAGGTTTTCCAATGAGCTCTAGCCTGTGTTTGATCTGATCTGCTCTGAGTTTTTCACCATCGTTACTCTAGCCTTCATCACACTTGTTTCACTGCTCCCAGTTCCCTAGCAAACCAAGCAACTAATTTGGCTGCACTTCATGGGAGGTGACACTTAGGAGAGGGAATAGTCCTGGACATTTTCCCATTCCAGACATCAGCCAAGACCTCCACAGGATCACCTGCCAAGGCAATAGGAAATTCCTCAAAAGTATTAGGAAACCACTTGGATCCATCAGTCTCCTAGAGCAGACTATGTTAATTAGATCCCAACTGCAGTGGCTCAGAGTTCCAATAAGCCTAAACCCTACCAGGTAACGATCTCTCAGTGACAACCAAACTGCCACACCCAGATCATCACCATCCTTCCCAGTATAGAAAACCAAGTCAAGAGCATGCCCTCCAACATGAGTGAGGTCTGATACCACTTGCGATAGCCCTGATAGCCCTATGGGCTTCATGGTGGTCATGAAGTCTTGAGCCACTTCTTATAAACTGGTCTCCTTGTGCAAAGTCGACATCCCTCAGCACAACAAGCCAAGGGGATTGTAACACCACACCTGAGATCAGCTCAGCCAATTCAAAATGGCACATACTTTGAACATGTTCGTATGGTCTCTGTACAGGTGGTATGTTTGTTGTAGCAAGGCATTGTGTGAACGTGAGAAATCCCAGTCCCAACAACAACAACAACAACAACAACAACAACAACAACAACAACAACTTTAGAACTGCAGAGCTGGAAGGGACCCAATGGATCACTGAGTCCTTGTATGCCATAAAAATGTATCAAAAAGAAGACATACAAGGGTGATGTGGTGGACAGCTAAAGAATCATGTATTTTCATCATTCCAAGATGCTGGTTTCTAGATGTGTTTTAGTGGGATGAGAAGGAAGATATAAATTGGGGTGATGGTGGTGTAATCGTGATCATCTAAAACATGAGGATAGGATGTTTTGGGGAAAGCATGCAGAAAATGTTGTGGAGTCACTACGAAGGGGTGGGGGAAGTAACAGAAGTGACATCATTAGTGTGACAGATGGCTCCCCTTCCCAATTTAGGTATGAAAGCAAGGAACCATATTGGATGGTGAACATCCTGGGGAGATTCTAGTCCTGTGAGTGAGCCTCTGAGCTGTGCCAACTCCTGGAGGGGATATCTTGGCATGGCCTTCAGTATGAAGGATGCTCCAGAGATGGAACAGAGTTGCCAGAATCTGTTGTGTTTTCCTGTCTTTCTGCTTC